TTTATAACAAAAACTTATTAATGACTGATTTTGATTTCTTAGAGCCCAAGTTTGATCCAAGAGCTATTGTTGGTTGCTGTAAGCTATAAATAGAGGCAGAGAGTTTATGGATATGTAATAAAATTTTGTAAACTTTGATTGAAGAGGATAGTTACTCTTAATTGAGAAGACATTTTAGAATAGTAAATTTTAGTTTATAATAAATTAAAAAAATTCTCCTTTTTAAAATTTTGTTCTTCTTCTCTTTTGATGATGATGATGAAGATTTGCTTCACAAGGGGCCAACCCCTTGCAATGTAAGTTTTCACTTTCCTCTTTTATTTTTTTATTATAATTGCATGTTTTAGAATTTTATTTCTTATTTTTATTTTATATTTTGTAGTATAGATTTCTTTTATGCTTTGTATTATAGATTTGTTTCCTTGCTCTTTTATTTTATGCTTTGTAGTGTATATTTTTTTATTTCTTTCTTTAGTTGCTTTGCAGTTTAGATTTGTTTTCTTTTTATGCTTTATAGTTCAGATTTTAATTTCTTGTTTTTAATTTTTAGTGTGAGCATATAATCTATTTAGGATTTCTACGATTAGATAGAACTACTTTAATTTCTTTTTGATTTTTTAATTTCTCTCTTTTGTGCTTAAAATGATCATATTTAAGATAATAAACTAGAAACTAATTGATAGATATGCTTATCTTAAATGGTTTGGTAATTTATGCTTTTTTCAATTCCAGGATTATTATCTAGTTGTTTGTTTCTTTTTATGAGTAGTAATATTACTTGAATATGTTTTGATAGGTTATGCTTATTTTTAATAATTTGATAGTCTATGCTTAATAATTCTAAGTAATATGAGAATAAAAAAAGAGTAATTCTTAAATATAAATTGAAATTAACTAGGATTGAATCTGCTAGTTACTTTCAAATTGCATTTAAGAATTACTCTATTTTTATTCACATATTTTTTAGATTTTCTAAGTATAGATTATCAAGTTACTTAAAACGAGTAAAATAAGTATAACTTATCAATAGCATATCTAAGCATTATCATCACTCATGAAATGAAATAAATAACTAGATAGTTCCCCTAGAATTGAATAAGCATAACCTATCAAACTACTTAAGAAAAGCATAGACTATCAAATTTTTTAACCAGTTAGTTCTCTAGTTGATTATCCTAACATGATCATTTTAGCATAAAGCGAGCAATTTAAAAATATAAAAGAACTGGTTTCATCTAAGATTTCCTACAAGAATTAGATACTCATATTGTAAAACTGAAACAAAGAAAGAAAATCTTGCTAGAAAATATTAAAGGCAAGAAAGTAAATCTAAACTACAAAGGAAATAAAGAAAGAAAAAAATTTACTCTACAAAGCATAGAAAAAGAAAAAGAAAATCTATACTATATAACAATAAAAGGCAAGGAAATAAATCTACCCTATAAAGCATGAAATAAATCTAAACTACAAAATAATAAATCCAATTTACCAAACATGAAATAAAAATATGAAATAAAATTATAAAATAAGAAAATAAAAATAGAAAATGAAGACTTATATTGCAAGGAATAGGCCCCTTGAGAAGTAAATATTTATTATCAAAAGAGAAAAAGAAAGAAAATAGAAAAAAAGAAACTTACAATTTAGTGGTCTTCTCAATTAAGAGTAACACTCCTCTCCAAATAAGAGTTTACAAAATTTTTCACATCCCTCACCCTCACTCTACCCCCCTCATTCTATTTATAGACAATCTACACCCTTGATTCAAGACAAATAGATGACTTTTTGGGCTTCATTTATATTGTATTTAATTTATTTAAGGCTATCGTGCTTCTCTTGAATGCTCTTGGTTTTCTTAGGATTTGACTTGACCTTCAAATAATTGAATATATATTGATTAAATTTTGATTTTTTATCATAACCTACTAACGCTAATTAAATTTTTAGAATCTGCCAATCTGGATGGCTCCTTCTCATTGAGATAGACGATTTTTATATATAATACGTTAGATTCTGCTTTTTGGATCGGGAGATAATGCTTTTTTAATAGTTAACCATTCCTAACATGAATTTGACTTGGTTTCTTTCTAGGTTTGATTTGATGCTCACTTGCAGGGCAAGTTATTAATAATTACTAACCAAGAAAGTGGTTAGTGCTGAGATTTTGCCTTTAAACTTGGCAGTGAGCTTTGGACTTAGGCATTTTGGCTTCAATTAGAGATATTTTGGACTTGAGGTAATCTTCATTTGAGCTCTTATTTATTCATCATTTTATTTTCTAAAAATGAAAAAAACTTAGTAGCAAATAAAATTATTAAAAACTTTTAAGAAATGAGGGTATAAAAATATAATAAAATTTGTTAATCACTTAGCAATTGACTCTTAAGCTTTGCAACTAATACTTAACTCTAATATATAACTCATTGGTTAAACAACCGATCCTTAAGTTTAACAAGCGATGAACAACATTAACAACCAATACTTAGGGGCTATTTGGTTTGCTACAAAAATAAATTGTAGCAAATGTTGCATGCAATATTTATTGTAGGAAATCAACTTTAAATTAGATATTTGGATATTTACATTTATATTGTAGGAAATGTCTTTGAAATGCAACTTGAGTGTTTGGTTGAAAAATAATTAGGCAAAGCTAGAAACTTTTACCACATAAGGAAACTTCGTTCTGGATAGTTTTTTTGTTTGGATTTAAAAAGATTTTTTTGATGTGGTGGAGTTATTTTATTTGTTAACTTTCTTTTTTTGAAGCCTACCGCTTTTCCTCCTATGAAATTGGTCGTAGGATTTGTTGCAAGTTTTTTCTATAAAATACATGTCCATTTACCATTCTTAATTATAAAGTTATAAATCAAACTATGTATTTATAAATCTGGTTGCTCTATTTATTGTAGATGGTTAAAATATACTCAAGCTCAGCCTAAGTTCAAGAAGTGAACGTCTATAAACTAAACACTTCAAGTAGGCCTAAACACAAGCTCACGTCAAAGCCCATCCAAACAATAGCGAACTTTGCCCAAGCTTTACGCATGAACTTCACCCTAAAGACCTATGTGCACCACGTCATCCACATCTCAAAGAACGTGGGCTATCCACGTTCTGGCAAAGTTCGCTGGGGTAGACTTTGCCCAAAGCCACTTGGTGAGCTACACCCAAAATTGTTCAGAGAGTTTCGCCTTTGACCGTTATAGGCGACCCTTGACATTGAATGTTTCAAGGGTTATTTTTATGAAAACAGTTCTCCCTATTATCTCCTAAGTTAGTAGCCCACTTAATCCATAATTAATGGCTACTAACTCTTTCTTAGCCTATAAGAGGATGTAATAATCATTTTTTTGTACACAAGATTTCATAGGAGGCCCACCTCATTTGGATTTGAAATATATATATATATATATATATATATATATATATATATGGAAAAATTGTTCAAGCCCAATTTATAATTTTCAATATGCCTATACCCTCCCAAATTCAAACATGTGCTAGCAGCCCACTTTTAAAAAAATTAATTAAAGCCACCTCTCGCCCAAGTTCCTATGCATACATTATATCAACAATCCCCATTTTACTCCCTACACACTATCTCTCTCCGTTACGCCCTCTTGCCTACGCGCTCCCTCTCCTCCCCTACAAGCCTCTCACGCCGAGCTCCTCCCCTATCTCCCCCCGCATCAACTCCCCCGCTCCCTCCCCTACGACAGCCCGCCTCCCCCTCAAGTCTCCTCCTCCTCCAGCCGCTCCCACTCACAGCTTGCACCTCCTCGCCCACCCCGTCTCCCTCACTCAAAGCACGCTTCCATCTCTTTGGTCCCTTTGCCTTCCGTCCGTCGCACGGTCCCGAGGAACTCTCCGGTGCATCATTAATGTTAACGATTTTTTCTGTAAAAACATGTTAACATCTTTTATGTACATGTTAAGTCTTTTCTAATTAACTGTTAACGTCTTTTCTGACAGCATTTAACTCTTACACGCTTAACCTGTTAGCTGTAAGAGTTAACATGTGAAGATGTTTAGAGTTAACATGTAGCTGTAAGAGTTATAATTGTTATTATAATTAACATGTTATCTGAAGTAACATTTATAAAGTACATTTTAACAGAAAAAGTTAATGTTGCAGAAAGAGATTTACATTTTACAGAAATAGAGTTAACATGTTACGAAAGAGTAATGTTAGAAAAGAAAAGAGTTAAGCATTTATTAGAAAAAGTTACATCATGACATAGAAAGAGGAGGGTAAATTTCGGGATTTTAATATTCAGCTGATATGTCTTAATGCATAGCTGGATGTCTATCAACGTGCTGATGCGCTGGAATCATGATGAGGGCTTGACCTAATTTTTTCAAAAAGAGGATTAAAGAGCATTAAAAAAAGTAGGAGGGCTAGAGGCAATATTTGACAGATAAATTTGGCGCTTGAGAGCAATTTTTCCATATAATATATATTAATTATTATATATATATATAAATATATATATATTATATATTATATATATATATATATGGATTTTCTTCAGTTCTCTCTCTTCCCGCAGAACGAGGTTGATTATTCTTTGCCCATCTCTGAACACCTCAGACTAATCATCCTATCTCTCCCAACTCCTCCCTTCTCATCGTCAACGCTCCTCTACTCTCGCTAATCTCGTAGTGAAGCCAAACACTGCTGCCGCCCCAAACCTTCCGTGCTCTCCGATAGAACATCTCTCTCTCGCTCGTGACGCAAGCATCGCCCGCCCAAACCGACTCCCTTAGATATTGATCATTCCATCCGTGCTGTAGGCAAGCACCGCTGCCCCAAACCCTTCTCCCTCTCCCTCTCTCGCTCGTGATCCCAAGCACCGTCACCCCAAAACTCTGATTCTGAAATCCTCCTCCACCATTAAGCCCCGCCGTGGACCAACTCCGGATCCGACCACGACCCCAAGCCAGCGACCACTCCGCCACGACACGAGCCCCAACTCAGCCACGCTCAGATTGAGGTCCTCTAAAACTTTTTGCTTGATTTTGATAATTTTTGGGAAGATTATTGTGGGATCTTGAAATGGCTTGACCTTTCTTGGCGAATCTCTGCAATTGTAGTTGATAACTTTTTGATAAATCTGAGCTTTCTTGCTTGATTTTGACATTTTTGGAAATTTCATGTATATTCTCTCATATTTCTTTTGCAATTGTAGTTGATCCTATTTTAGTCAATCTCTCTATAAGGTTACGAAATCTCCAGGTGATTTGGTTTTCTAAAAATTGTTTCATTCTAAATTCACTTACTTTATCAAACTAGAAATCTTTCAGTAAACAATTCATCATGTAAACATCTAAAGACAAATATTAGTATGCTTGCAGTATTAGCGATGTATAATATATGATATCATGTTTATTTGTTTCTTCTCATTAGCAGTAAGACAAATGTTATCATGTTTATTTTTTTCTTCTCATGCTAGTAAATAGTCATTTCAGTACATGTTATCTACGCACATGAGGTCATTAGAATTACATGAGAGGCTAGTATAATACATTTTGGGTAGCAATTACACAATCCTTTTACAGTGAGTAGATGATATCAGGTACGTACACCATTCTTTTACAGTGATATATTGTCACAACTATCATCTTGAAGAGGCCGTTGTGAGTAGATGATATCGGGTACGTACACAATCCTTTTACAGTGATATATTGTCACGACTAAATTGAGCTTTTTTCAACTACAATTGCAGAAGAAAAAAGTCCACAATGAGATGATAGTATACTTTTTTATGAATTTTATCTTTGTGGTATATTTTTTGTAGATAAAAGATGAAGAACTTTTCGGAAGAGTTTAGTGAAGAAGAAGATGAGGGTTTAGTTCAAAGAAGATGTTATTGTGGGTTAATTTGCAGAATATAGATGTGCAAACAAGGACACAATAAGGGTTTGGAATTTTATGGATGCCCAAGATACAAGTGACCTAATTGCAAGGATTGCAACGTCTTCGAATGGGTGGGTGATACCAAGAACATCACAAAAATGCTGGAAAGACTAGTAAAAAATGATGAGTTTTTGAATAAAATGCTGAATGATGTAATTTTATATTTAAAATTTATTGCTATCGTTGTACTGATATTGTTGCTTTGTGTTATAGTCAAATGAGTGAGCAACATATTATTGAATGACTGATGTATCCAAATATCCTATTGTAAACGAATGTTCAAACTGGTGAAGGCCTTCATGCTTCATTTGGTGCTTTTGTCTAGTCTCCAATGCTTCATCTTAGTTTGGTTAAGTTGCTGGTTTATAGGAGTTGGGTAAAGGGAAAAATGCTAACAAGCGAACTTTGTCACTTGAAAATGCTTTCCATTTATATCGACTTTTATATGTAAATATGAAGAAGCTCTTAACTTTAAGCTCTCTATTGTTCAATCGTTGCATTCTGGTTTGTATGGTTCTGGATCCTTTGATGGTTGTCTTACAAATATGATGGAGCTCAGAACTTCAGGTTTTCTATTCTTCAGTCTCTACATTGGTTTGGTTTTATGCTTCTGAATGTTCTGATGATTATCTGCCCTTAGTTTTTTAAACTCGGTACTTGGGGGACTTATAAGATCACCGGTGGTCTTGGCTAAACTACCTTAATCAAATGATAAAAATTTAGTGGCCGGCTACCAAACGCATGCTCTTGTAGAGTTCAGGAATGCTGTTATATTGTTTCCATGCCTGCTAAGAATGCTGTCATGTTGTTTCATAATTGTTGGGAAGTTTTACTTTTTTAAAAAAAATTGTTTCCTTTGTGAGTCACAATATAGAACTAAGAAGGATTTTATATTGCTAAGAATGTTGTCATATTGTTGATATAATTTGCTAAGAATGCTGTCATATTGCTAAGAATGCTGTCAAATTTGTTTCATATTGCTAAGAATGTCGTCATATTGCTAAGATGGATTTTCTTGTTCAGCGGCATGCTGTTTTACTAATACAGTAACACAAATTCTGATGCATTCACAACCGGGAAAGTGAGATTTCAATTAGTCAGCTGAATAATAACTAATTGCCAAGAAACTGAATCTTAAATAATAGTACCACTGTCCTGTTTAATATCCAGTGACACGCCAAGCACAAATCACTCATATTGCCCACGTCCTAAGTTACCAAACTGAGACAACCGACATATGACGTTACAACATTCTGGACAATTAACACAGAGGGAGATATCAACGGACCAACACAAAAGATACAAAAATCAACCCAAAAATTCAATCACCCCTCAAAAAGCCCCAACATACACAGATACATAACGACTTCAACCCATTCTCATTGTTAGACCCTAGAGGGGGGTGATTAGGGTCTTATGCTAATCTAATCCGATTTTATACCAATTAAAACTTACTAAAGAATTATTCTTGCAAGATAGATGTACAATATGATATGAGCAATAATATGCAATATAAATAAAGAGATATATCCTAGCAAAGAGGTATATGATAAAATATATGCAAGAATATATAAATTAACACACGGGTAAACAATCTAAACTAAAGATACAAATGTGATAGGGCAATATAAACAATGCAAATACACAATATAATCACGGAGTTCGGACCTTCCGTCCTACGTCTCCTCTCCGTACCCCTGGGGAGAAATTCACTATCACAAACAGGGTTTTCTACGCTCACCCGAATAACGTTTACGCCTCACTCTCGGTTTTCTAGCTAACCGAAAACTTTACAATCTCACACTCTTACAATCTCACTTTACACCCTCTCAAACGTTGGTCTCTAGTTCGTGTCTCCCTCAATTGTTAGAAATTACAACCTCTCTCTAGGAATTACCACCTACTACACTCCTCTTGGGATGACCCCGTCTCTCACCACACACTCCTCTCGGTGTACAAGTGTATTACAAAGTGACCGTCTCTCACCACACACTCCTCTCGGTGTACAAGTGTATTACAAAGTGATCTACACAATTAAGGCTCACAAATACAAATTATTACAAAGTGATCTACACAATTAAGGCTCACAAATACAAATTTGTTCTCTACAATAGATGAGAACTCAAATAAGCTCACTCTTAATTGTTACAACTCCCCACAACCCAATTATACAATGTATGCAAATACAATAAGCTCAATGGTTGTGTGTGTGTAAGCAATGAGAAATTAATTATAAACTCAATGTAAACCCTAGCTTGATGAAAATGATAAACAACAAATTATTAATATAAAACTAGTATTGAGTTTAGAAATTCTTCTCTGAAAAATAAGATGGAGAGATGGATTGAAATGAAGCTCAAATAATATAGATGATCTTCTCCACTTATAAGAAACTTCTTCACAAACAAACTCTTTTAAAACACACTAAACAAACATTAAAACCTTTGTTAAACTTGTTTAAAACATTTCTTGGATTGAACTAAAACTAAGGTATAAGGGGGTATTTATATGAAACCCCAAAGCCAAGAGAAAGCCAAGAAAAGACCAAAAAACCAGCTCAAAAACGGCTCTGGAAACTAGCCGTTGGAGACTGAATGACAGATCGGTGGTCGACCGTAGGAAATGCGCGGTCGACCGTGAGCAGGTCAGAAATAGAACTTTGGCTATGGACATTAGCCGGTCGATCGTGGCGGTCGATCGCGAAACTCTCTGGACTGCATCCAGTCGACCAAAAACCAATCTGAGTCTCTGGACTCAAGGCGGTCGACCGTGGTGGTCGACCAAAAACTGATACTAGAAATTGACAGGTTTGAAACAGTTTTCTAATTTTAAAACCCTATTTAAAAATATCAAATAAATTCAGAAAAGTATAAAACTTTGGAAAATGATCGTACATGATAATACACATGCTTGTGATTATATAGACTTAATAAAATATGTATATGATTGTTATTAAGTTCATAAGCCAAGAAAACAATGAGTTTTGACAAAACATGAAAAATAGTCCAAAACATGAAAATATAAACATATGAGTTTTGACATTTTAGCTTAACCATGTTTTGAAACATTACAAAATGATTATATAGACTTAATAAAAGATGTATATGATTGTTATTAAGTCCATAAGCCAAGAAAACAACATTTTCATAAAATTGCATATTTTGCAAACATTTCAAAAGAAAATATGATTTCATTGAACTAAATAAAATCGTGTATGTGTGTATATGATTGAGCTTAAAGTACTAACACACATAATATAAACCCTAAACTAATTATACCAAAGCTTGTGATCTTTAACAAAGCTCTATCTTGGTACACTTGCGGATGAAGCTTGAACTTGGATCTTCAACTTGAATTGCATGGCTTCATATCATAATTCCGCCAACCTCTATTGGATATGATCGTGAATGTTCAATTCCATCCATCCTCCAACTCGTTGTTTGTCTACAATAAATAGAAAACAAAAATACTAGACAAATAATATTAGTAATAAATTATTTATTAAATATCATCAAAACAAAGAGGCCAACAACAGTGACAACTTCATCTGTATTAAAAAAAATTTAAAAAACAAAGTGTTTCATCACATTATATAAAAAATGGTAATGTACAAGTTATTTCGTATGTATTAACCATTACCTTCCTCAAAGGAATCTTCTAAATCATAACTGGCTTCATTAATATTATCTTGTTCCATTGAATCACTAAAAAAAATTGATGATAGCAAAACATATTAAAGATCATTGCACCAACTTAAAAAGTTTAAAAAAATAATAGCATTAGTATTACTAAAACAAATGATACACTACCTTGACAACTTTAGCGGGCAATTTTTGCTATCATGATTTTGTCCTCGCTTTCCACACAATTTGCACTTCCTAGGCCGGCATTTGCGAATCTCTCTCAATGGCTTTAACCTCTTCCCTTTAGGCCTTCCTTTTGTTCTTGCTTGACTTGGTTCATGAACTATATCTTGAGAACACTCCGCATTCATATATTGTCCTTCCACATCTTGTCCAATTTCTTCATCATTGATGAGTTTCAAACGTTGCACCTTATTAATAGCATCCATCATCATTTCACACATTAATTCATATGCATCATTAGAAGATAGCCTCTCTTCGACCATTTTATTAGCTAAGCAATTTAGTTCACTAAAACGAGAAGTAAAATTAATTGTGGCATTATCTCTAATAATATTACCATCTCTAAGAACAACTTTTTTTCTGACATTTCGGCACCATCTTCTTAGAATATATTACTCCGGTAACTCACTATGATTGGTAATTTTAAGATATGCCAAGATATGTCAGCATGGAATGCCCTTAAATTCAAACATGAGACACGAGCAACGAACCCTTTTAGTTGTTTTGTAATATATAATACGTCTCAATCTTTCATCATGACCACAAAAATTCAATTGGAAAGTACTTTCTCTTTCAATTTCTTTTACCAGCTCAATGTTATATATTAAGCTAGGTTGAAGCTCGTCTTAAAAAATATAAAAGATTTTTTTCGTGTAGATTTGGGCCTTTGTTTTTCCATTGACCACAAAGTCTTCAATTTTGACTTTTTCTCCACTGTGCAATGATCTTCTTTAAGCTCCCCCTCTCTTTGTCTCGCCAAGACTCTCTGAAAGATGGTCACGAAATCATGAAGTAAATTTTTCCTTGATACATGCATTTTTAGCAATGCATTCATCCATTCACTTCTTTGACTGCTAGACATTCCGGCCCAAAAGTGTTGTTTATGATAAACCGGAGCCCATTTTTCACGAATTTCATAGATATCATTTAGCCAATCATGCATTTCCAATCCATTTTGTAAGAATTGAAACCTAATTCTCTTCAAAAGAGCTAGCAGTATTGGAGTCCCAAATATTTTCTTTGAAAGATTTCATAAATTCCGTTCTATGAGCTCATTTACCCAACTTCTTTGCAACTTTGTCTATGATATGCCAAATGAAAAACCTATGCCGAATTCTGGGAAAACTGTTTCAATTGTCTTGCATATGCCAAGACATTGATCTGTAATCATGTCCGAAGGAGGATGACCCATTGCTTCAATCCATTTGTTAAACAACCATATGTAAGACTTCGCCTCTTCGTTTGGGATCAAACCACATCTTAAAAAAACACTTTGCCAATAGTGATTTATGCCTACAAACGGCACAAATACCAAGCCATATTGATTTGTGTTATGCGTGGCATCGAAGGAGACAACATCGCCAAAGTATTGATAATTCATTCGAAGAATGCCATCCTCCCAAAAACAATAAGTTAAGCGCTTCTCTTCATCAACTTCATAAACATAATAAAATAAAGAATTCTTCTCTTGTTCTAACTTGAAATGATCCAATATCATTTGTGCATCATGACCGTGCCTCTCCTCTCTCAAATCTCTTTCATAATTTCTCACAACGGTCTCAATGCATCCAATTCTATGAAAACCTCCACTAGAGTTTTTAAAGAAGGCCATTTGCTTGTTTGTTGGAATGTTCACCTCTCCAAACTGCTTTATCAATGTCTTCTTCGCACTTGTTACCTCACGGTTTCCCCTTAGAAAATATGTTCTACTCGGTGAAGTAATTGTATGATTATGTTCTTCCACAAACTTATAGACACTCCATATGCCAATGTTTTTGTCTAATTTCAAGCGAATCAAGGCCTTACAATTTGTTCTAATTGTACCACATCGTCGAATTTCCAACGATTTGCTCTTTAACACTCCTTCTTTCGAACAAATATAACTTTTGCATATTAACTCTCTATCCTTCCCATAATTTGTTGTCCTATTACGGATATCAAAACCTCCGGCCTTTCCGTAATTTCTGTAGAATTTTTCAGCATCTTCTAAATTGCTAAAAGTCATTCCTATTTTTGGTTTTAAGTGCTCATCAATAATTGGCACAACTAAGATATCTAACTGAAAGATTTGTTCATCAACAACATGGGGGCAACCATCTTCAATTTCTATTGGAATGATGTAAATAAGAGGATAGTCAAAAACCACTGTGCACAAAAAATACATTTATGTTTAGAAACAAAAATGCCATCAAAGACCACTGTGCACAAAAATAAAGTCGTTGGATCCATAGATTAAAAAAAATCATCTTAAGAGGACAGTCAAAAATAATTATTGCAATTTTATTTCTTTAAATATACAAAAAAGTGCATCTTCAAAAATGTGAAAAATTGCAATAATTTGTTCATCTTCGAAAAATTGCAAAAATGTGAAAAACGTAAAAAAAGTGCATCTTCGAAAACTAAGACCACATAATTCGTTCATCAACAACATGACCGCGCCTCTTTCATTTGTTATCTAACCTTCACATATTAGTTCAATAAATTAGAGAAGAACAAGAAAAATCTAATGATGCATTTGAAGAGGTAAGAGCCCACTAAAAGTCAAGAAACTTAGCATAAACGCATTGGAGTTTGCTCAATTCACTTGAGAAATAGATAGAGCAAGAGGATCAATGATGAAGAAAAGAAAAAAACATTTGTTGCGTTACCTGTGTGAGAAGGAGAAGGGAGAGAGAACTCCAGTTGGATCTCTTGCTGCCCACCCAAATGCACTCTGCATTTCTCCCATCTCTTTCTCGACTTTCGTTGACAATACAATTTCGGAATCGGAGTTTTGGGGCGGCGGTGCTTGGGATCATGAGCAAGAGAGGGAGAGGGAGAAGGGTTTGGGGCGGCGGTGCTTGGGGTCAAGAGCGAGAGAGGAGATGGACGATCTGAGAGGGAGAAGGGTTTGGGGCGGCGGTGCTTGGGGTCACGAGTAATGTTGTTCATAGTAAACATGCGATGATCATTTTTATTCCACTTGGATTTCTCCAAAATGGGCACAATATAAGCATCATCTATAATTTCCCATAAATCAAAATGTTTAGATCTAACAAATAGTTTAAATCTAACACACCATTGGGCATAGGGGAAATTATCTAATCTAGGAGTAATATTAATGGCATAACCTAAACCATGCATATCCATAATATAAAAGGCAAGCAAGATACAAATAAAGCTCAAAATTAGATTAGCACAATAAGCTAACTTGGATCTTTAACTCAAGGCGATTAGACCTTAAATCAAAGAGCACCAAGCTCTGATACCAATTGTTAGACCCTAGGGGGGGGGTGATTAGGGTCTTATGCTAATCTAATCCGATTAAATGCCAATTAAAAACTAATTAATACGTTATCCTAGAAAGTATAAAATACAACAAGATATGTGAGCTAGGATAAACAATATGAACAAGTTATATTCTTGCAAGATAGATATACAGAAAGTTAAGTGCAAGAATATGCAATATACACAAGGTGATATATCCTAGCAAAGAGATATACTATGAGATATATGCAAAGATATATAAACAACACAAGGGTAAATAATCTAAACAAGATAGTGGATGAAATAAATGAGTAATGCACAATTGGCCAAACACAAGATATGATCACGGAGTTCGGACCTTCCGTCCTACGTCTCCGCTCCCCACTCCCGGGGAGAAATCCACTATCAACCGGGTTTTCTACGTTCACCCGAATAACGTTTACACCTCACAGTATCGGTTTTCAACACTCACCGATCAACGTCACTCCTCACACTCGGTTTCTAGCTCACCGAAAACCTCACTACACACTCGGTTTCTAGCTCACCGAAAACCTCACTACACACTCGGTTTCTAGCTCACCGAAAACCTTACAACACTCACAATGTAACAAATATAAATTTGTTCTCTACAATAGATGAGAACACAATGAAAGCACAACTCAAAGTTACAATCTCTCACCACCCAACTATACTATGTATGAAAGATACAATAAAGCTCAAGTGGGTGTGTTTAACAATGAGATTCAATAAAACTTAACTCAATAAGAACTAGCAATAAAAATTGATATGAAATTCAATAGTAAAAATGCTAGGAAATAGAGTTAAGGAAACTTCTCTATAAACACAAAGAGAGGATGATAAAATGTTGAAGATGAACTCTTCAATAGCTGATTGTAAACTCCTCTTTGTAACAGCAAACCAAAACAAACTTAAACCAAACAAAAACAAGCTTAAACCCTTGTTTAAAACCTTGTTTAAAAACTTCTTTAAAAACTTCTTAGCTGCCTTGAAAAGACATCAGCAATGGGGTATATATACCCTCTAAGCAACTCAGCAAAAACACCCAAAACAAAAGACCAAAAGACCCAGCCAACGGTACAAAAACTAGCCGTTGGAAACAGTAAAAGCCATCGTCGGTCGACCGGAAATTCTGTCGGTCGACCGATTTGAGCTCTCGGTCGACCGGACCGGTCGACCGATGACTCTCTGGAAAAATACTAACGAATGGTCAATTGACCGGTCGACCGAAAACTGACATTCTAGAAAAAATCGGTTTTAGAGCTGATTTTAAAACACTGTTTAAAAATATCAAATAAATTCAAAAAAATGTGAAACTTTGGGGAATGATTGTAGACATGATAATAAACATGCGAGATATAAATGGTTTATCATGGCAATCAATTACTTTATTTGATTTAGATATAAATGGTTTATCATGAGAGATTTAGTGTGTATGAGTATACAATTTCTGTTTATAAAAAAATAGCATGGTGGTCGATTAATTCCAATTATAAAATCACAATAGCTGTATATGAAACATCTTTATTATTAAAATAACTGTGTGGTTAAAAAATTAAATCTTTAAAATATAATAATTTGTTTTCTATCTTCTAGAATGCAAATTATATCTTGGTTTCTCCACTCATGAGTTTAAATACAAATGTTATACAATTCAATCCTCCCTATGGTGGTCATCAAAAATCATGCCTTCAATTTGCGTGATAATAGTTTCGGTGTCAATTTTCATCTCGCCTATAGCATTATTGATATCATTAATGTTGTTTCCAGTTGGTCCCGCTGAAATGTAGCTACTTTTGGCTTCTTTAGCATCAACACAACTATGTAGGAGCATAGATGAAACTAATGATAAAAGAAGTGCAAAGAAAATTTGGTTTGAAGGTGTCATCTTTTGGTAGTGTGTTTAGAGTAGATTGAATTTTTATGTTTGAACTTAGCTCATTTTATAGGCATCATAAAGAACATTAAGGGTCCTTATATTCAATTAATGCATCGAATTGAATAATACAATATTTATTAATTTTTTAAACTAGTAATCCTACATATACAATAAAATACACTATTAAATATTTTAAAGTTATCTTAATGTTATATTCACTGTAGCCTAATTTTGCATCCGATCCGTCACCCATTAATTATATCAAAAAACCTTCTTTCTGATATAACCTAAATATTAATTGTTGGCATTATTACATTAAAATGATTGTCTACATTAAAAAAATGCATTATAACTAAACATTTAAGAATAATTTGTTATCTTCTTGTTCTTCCCCTATCAAAATGCCTCATGGAATATATACAATAAAGATCAAGGCAAATATATATGAGAAAGCATAGATAAAAAATATGAACACCGGTCACATACAAAAAATACAATAAGGACACATAATGATATATCAATATGAAAAAGGTGTCTCATTACTCAAAAAAAAAATATAAATAGATTTATGAAATCAAAAGAGAGAGGAACATGAGAATCATGCAAAAAGTTATCAAATGAAAACAAACCAACCAAATGAAATCATAAATCAAAATTTAAGCCCAAAATATGATGTTTGATCAATAAAGAAAATTTTCTTTGAAGAGCTTTGATCAAACCACTCATAGAATACATTATAAAGCATATTTGAAATTTTAATCATCTATTTGTATATATATATATATATATATATATATATATATATATATATATATATATATATGGGAAAAATGATTCTAAGGTGACACCTTTGATTCCCACCTAAGGATGCGACCTAAAATCACATCATTTCCTAATTGTTTTTTCTGATCCGCTCCGTTGAACTTGATCTACATATTCATATATATATATATATATATATGGGAAAAATGATTCTAAGGTGACACCTTTGATTCCCACCTAAGGACGCGACCTAAAATCACATCATTTCCTAATTGTTTTTTCTGATCCGCTCCGTTGAACTTGATCTACATATTCTTAAACCTAAACACATTAATTTTGGGGTGTACCCGTCGTGTTTGACCCTTCATCCACTCGCCGCAATTTTAACGGTTTCGAATGAATAGAACATTTTGCACGGCTCAATGAAGGGTCAAAACACGACGGGTTTATCCCAAAATTCGTGTGTTTGGATTTAAGAACGTGTAGATCAAGCTCAACAGAGCGGATCAGAAAAAAGGGAATGATGTGATTTTAGGCCGCGTCCTTATGTGGGAATCTAAGGTGACAACCTAGGCTCTCACTTAAGGACGCGGCCTAAAATCACATCATTCCCTAAAAAAAATTTATGATCTGCTCCGTTAAACTTGATTTACACGTTCTTAAACCTAAACACACTAATTTTAGGGTGAACCCGTCGTGTTTTGACCCTTCATCCACTCGTCGCAATTTTAACGGTTTCGAATGAATAGAACTTTTTGGACGACTCAACGAATGGTCAAAACACGACGGGTTCACCCCAAAATTGGTGTGTTTGAGTTTAAGAACGTGTAGATAAGGTTCAACGGAGCGGATCGTAAAAATATATTAGGGAATGATGTGATTTTAGGCCGCGTCCTTAGGTGAGAGCCTAGGGTGTCACCTTAGATTCACTTTTCCCATATATATATATGTATATGTATATGTATATATGTATATGTATATATGTATATATGTATATGTA